TTGGGAGGCTTAGTGAGGCACAAGAATTGTTTGAGCCTGGGAGGCAGAGTCTGTAGTGAGCTGATATGGTACCACTGCACTCCAGCCTGGGCAAAAGAGTAAGACCCCATCTCAAAAAAAGAAAAGTGGCTAAGAAAGGCCACAAAGAGACTGAATTATGTGCCCGCTCTGCTTGAAGGCATTTGCTGAGCAGTTACTGACTTTGTGAAACAGGTTTAAATTCAAATTTGAAAATTTCTGATTAGAAGTAAGATTCTCCAAGCCTGTCAGAATGAGAGATGATCAAACTGAGTGACAGCAGGTGGCTAGTGGTCCAGCTGTTTGATGCTCTCCAGAAAAGTGATGTGGAAAAAGGTTACCATTACTATTGGGCCGACCACGACTTAGATGCCATCCTTCTTTGCCTCCTCACCAAAGTTTACTCATTTTATAACCCTTATGAGTTAAATAGGAGACACAATTTTCCAGTTCCTTTTAGAAATAATCAACATAGAATGTTTGGACCCAAAGAAGACATAGGCCAAATCTATATTCCAGGTGTTAATATTAAAACCTAAACAAACCCTTATGTTGGCCAAGGACTTTATTCTCACAGAAGACTTTTCGTGATAAGAGCCTGACCAGCTCTGACTAAGGATAAGCCTATCCCTGCAACCTGTGCTGCGGACCGGCCAAGGCTCCTGCAAATGACAGAAAGACAGGAGCAAACAATGATTCTTTCAATGTCCCTGGTTCTTTGGCAACAATGCCGACTGCCATTTGCATGTGCTATCACATCCTGAATAGGCATGACATGGAGGATGTGAGTAGTCGATTCTTCCTGCTGAAGGGCAGCCAGACGCTAGAGAATCCATGGGAGAGCAGCCCTGGTCAAGCCACATAGTAGGTCACAAAGGCCCGCACAGCAAGGCTGAGGCTCGTTTCACACTGATGCTATACTGTTTCAATTGGTTTAAACAAGTTTTAAAATAGGAAAGAGAAATGGCAAAGAAGAAATCAAAGTCTAAACAAGTAGTGGCAAATGACGAAATGCCAGGCTAAAAATTATATTTTTATATAATGGAAGCATGTGACTTCTAATCTCTCTGTCTATTGACAAATAACTGTGAGAATAGCATTTTGTTCTGAGCAAAGAGAAAATAATTTTGACCTATGAAATATGATCATTTTATACTTCTACTTGTCTCATTGTGTGAAATGATAAAATATGCTGGACTAGAAAAATAACATTTATTATTTGACACAAACCCCGTTGTCCAGAACTATCAACCACTTTCCAAAATAGAGACATATGGCTGGGTGCAGTGGCTCATGCAAGTAATCCTGGCACTTTGGGAGGCCAAGGTAGGTGCATCACTTGAGGTCAGAAGTTCAAGACCAGCCTGGCCAACATGGTGAAACCC